GGGGAATTCTGGAAGTTGAAGTCCACATGGCTTAAAGTTGATGAGTTTGAGAAACAGTATAAATCTAGCAGCAGGCCACGTTGACCGGCCCCATCCTCAGCGGGAGAGGCGACATCAACTCTTTCCCCCCCTCCTTGCCCCCTTACCTGAGAAGCCAACATGTGCTGGGAGAGATGGAAGGGGAAGGGGGTGGCGGTGCCGGCTGTCCCTTGAGGAGCAGAGAGTCCCCCGTTTTCCAGGCTCCCTCCACCGGCTACCGAAGCCAGCAAGTGTCCCATCCCCATGGCCGAAAAGGCTCCTGGAGCCATTGCAAACTGTCCTGGGTGCAGGAAGAACGGCTGCCCCGCGCCCAGGGGGTTGAAGAACTGTTGACTGTGGAGGCCTGAGAGTGCCAGGCTTTGGAGGTGGCCGGGGTTCAAGTGCGGTGGGCTGTCTGTCTGCACCATCAGGGGGGCAAAGGCTTCCTTGCTGCTGCACCCTATCGGGGCACAGTCCCCAGGCGCCTCCTTTTTGGATCCTTCCTGGGACGGCTGCAGAAGAGAGTCCTTCCTTCTGCCCTCCATCTTCTCCTTCTCCAAGCCCAGCGGGGCAAAGAGGGCTCCCTCGCTCCCGCCACTCTCCTTGGAGGCCTCGCTGACTTTGCTGGCTCCTCGCTCTTTACTCCGCTCCTCTCCCTGCAGGCAGGGGCTGGGGTTGTGCGGGGAGCATCCCTGGCCCAGGTCAGGGCTGGACCGCTTCGCTCCCGACCCCTTCTCCAGCTCTTGGTCACTGCCTTTGTCTTCTGCAAGGAGAAAAATGCCACTTTAGCCCAACCGGCTTAGCTGCAGGGGGGGAGAACCAGCATCCTGCAAGAGCTGGGGGACCACAGGTCCCATCATCCTGGGGAGTGGGGGTTTGGGGTTTTTGAATGCTGTTTTGGGTTTTTCAGATGATGGGCTTTTTCCAGACAATTGGTATTTCAGTATTTTGTACCATGTTATGCTTGTGTTTTATGAGCCACCTGAAGTCATCACCGGTTGGGCTTGCCTGTACATTTCATAAATGAATGAACAAATCTTCTTTGGGGATCAGGCCAGGTGGGAAAGGAATCAAGCAAGTAGCAGCTTGATTTTTTGGTTTGGAGCAGGAAGCTAAGTGGGGTTGGAGCTGGATGGGATTTGGATGGGAGACAATTAGGAAACCCTCAAGCGGTGCTGGAAGAAGGCAATGGCAATCTTGCATGACTGTATCCAAGGGGATTGCGTAGTCTGGATCCCCGGGAGCACGTGGAACTGATTTCCACTTGATGGAGTGCATTTTTATCCTATTTAGGACATTCCCCCACACCATTTGGCCACCTCGTCCCTAAAGGAGCACAGCTACCTCATTCTCCCTCCGTGAGAATTTCTCCAGAAGTCTCTTTCCCGGTGACAGAATGTCTAAAGCAAATTCTCTTTTATAAAATTGAGCAAGCACCAATCCGCATGTCTTTGCCTGGCATCAGGCATCAGCCGTGCCAAGGGCTCGTGATTCAGGAGAAAGGGCATTTTTAATAGCGTCCTTCTTACTGCAGAACTTCAGCTGTCTTGCAGTAAACACTCCAGTATTCACGTTGCCTCCAAAGTAAATGATGCGCTTGAGATTTACAGCTTCTCGCTGCTGAAATATGACTTAATTTAATCAATAAATCATAAACTCTCCAGGGCGATGACCTGACCACACATTCTTAGAAGGAAATGCCAATTTTTATGCCTCTCCTTTGCTTACAGTATGGCACTTACTTGAGAGCCACGCCATTGTAATCACCTCTACAATATTCAGGACTCTTGACAAGAAATGTGTGCTTAAAGCCGCAGCTCTGCAAGGTTCATTTTTGAGCTAACGATCAATTAAAGCCCATCATTTAAATTTACAGCCAGACTTACAGCTTCATGTTGCGCGTGTTTACTCAAAAGTAAAATAACAGTTTAAGGCTGAAAGCCTAGATCAGTGTTTCTCAACCTTGGCCACTTTCAGAGGTGTGGACTTCAACTCCCAGAATTCCCCAGCCAGGCTTGGGGAATCTTGGAGTTGTAGTCCACACATCTTAAAGTTCCCAAGGTTGAGAAACACTGGCCTCAATTATCTACTGGCTGTATTTGCCCATTACACTAAACCAATCCTGATTAACAATCTCTCGTTGTTAAGACAAAACCAGACAAACTGCATTAGAGATGCATCAACCAGACTGTCAGATTAAGCCATAATGTGGTTGGCTTGCTGGGGTTTAACATATAGTATGAACACGGATATTAACTGAGAGTAAACTGCTAGAAATTTTAATCCAGAGACCCTTAAAACCAGTGGAATAACTGAGCGATTTCTTTCCAGGCACGAATGTGTGGAGCTGGCAATCTCAATCCATTTATTGTCCGTTTATTTGGTGGGGACTTAGAAGCAGCCTCTGTGAATTCATGTTAAGAATTCCAGGCCTGAGACCTGATATTTTCTGTAAATTTGACTAAAAATTCCAGAGGATCAAAAGCGTGTTTAATGCAACCAGGAGGGGGCGATAGATAGCAAACTCTTTCTTCCCCAAAATTACATTCTCAGTAGCAAGGAACTGGGAGGGGGGAGGAATAATTCCTTGGGGAAAATATTAAAAAAAAAAATGTTCACATTCTCCTCGGTGGATAAACTTCATTTAAGCTTAGAAACAGCTCCACTTCTCATCACTTTGGAACCTGCATATCCCGCTATGGCAGAATATAAATAAACCCCGGAAAGTGACGGGGGGAATTCTTATGATTATGATTTTGGAAGGGATCAGATCACACAGCAGCAGGATTTTTTTCATGGAAGAAGTTCAAACTGTTTTAAGGGGGAAATGGCTGAAACAGGTGACTCCAGGGGTTCAGAGTTGGAGGTGGTGGGCCCCCATTTGGGGAAGGAAGCCTCCCCCCCATCCTCCCAGCTGACCCTGCCCCAAAGATCCTCACCTCTGCTGTTTCGGTGGACCCGCAAGGGGCTGGGGGTTGTTGCCAAAGGGGAGTGAAGCGACTCGCGAACTGGGGCGGGTTCACACGACGAGGCATCCGATTCGCCCCCATCTCTGTCCTGCTTGCACTGATCCTCGTACATCCGCAGGGAAGGGAGACTAAGCTGTTTCCTTTCGGGGGGGAAAGGGGGGAACACGACTGGTTTTAATCTTCAACGGAGGGGCATCAGCATTTGAGATGGTCTCATCCCCCCTTCCCTTTACTACAGTGTTTCCCAACTTCTTTAACTTTAAGATGGGTGGACTCCAACTCCCAGAATTCCTCAGCCAGCATGGCTGGCTGAGAAATTCTAGGAGTTGGAGTCCACCCATCTTGAAGTTGAGATTGAGAAACACTGGTTTGCCACTTCTCAAGGTCGAAGGAAAAGCCAGATGACTTCCCGCACAACCTCCCAACTGAACCAGAAATTGACCACCTCTCACTAAAGTCAAGCTACTTTTGAGAGAAGTTGACTCCTGGTCCTAAATCTGAATCGTCTTCTTGAAGGGACTTGCCATGGCTTCCTTTCAGGGTTTTGTTAGTTTCCTAGTCTCATCTGCAGCCTGGGGATCAACTGGTGATCTCCCATCCAATGGCTACCTGACTTAGATAGCCCAAACGGCTTTGGTCTGCCATCTGCTTTCTCTGCTAAGGGATTCCTGAATGAAGGCTAATGAACCTGGAGCAAAAATCAGAGCTTAAACCTTCTTTCCCTTCTCAAGTTCAGCCCTCATTTCCCTGGGGCCAAATTTTAGGCTTGGATTATATAACATGTTATTTTCCTGGTGGAAACAGAGGGGGTTCAGGCACCCGGGGAGTTGTGGTTAACTCAAGACACCGTCTTTAACTAAGGCACTGCTTTGAACGTTGAGTAAGACTTTGTCCATGGCTTAATGAGTTGCCTATAAATTCAGCCATTGTGACTTGTCAGTCATGTTTATGGCAGTGTGCGATCCAAACCCAGGCAACCGGAGGTTATTTAATAAACCATGATTAAGCAAACCGCAGTTCCACACCTTGGGTGAACGCAGCGTTTGATTACAAAGTTCCTCCAGTGAAGATACTCATGATGCCCGCAAAACTTCTGAGTAAACATGAACAAGATTGCAAATAATAGTATCAACCGTATAATGCAATTCTTGGCATGTCTGTTCTGAAATCAATCCACTCCAGGTCTTAATCCCAAGTAACTATATTTAGGATGGCAGGCTAAGATCAGGGAAAAGTGCAGAAATGGAAAACAGCATTTGCCCGCTGAAACCCCAACTCACTAACATTAATGCAGTGTTGTCCAAACTTGGCCACTTTAAGATGAGTGGACTTCAACTCCCAGAATTCCCCAGCCA